AATGATGATATAAAACCATGATAAAAATGCACTTTTAAGTACTAATCAACTAGTTTATGGGTGATAGGGGAACTGACCTTGTGAATTACATAATATTTTCTCATCAAGTGATAGGCCTGCATTTAAAGTGAATATTTATCAGAAATTAAAGTATCTTATATTATTAGATTCATTATTATAAAATATGCTTTAGTTAAGGAGTTATTGATACTTCAAGTGCAAAATGATGATATAAAACCTTGATAAAAATGCACTTTTAAGTACTAATCAACTAGTTTATGGGTGATAGGGGAACTTACCTTGTGAATTACATAATATTTTCTCATCAAGATCTCAACGGGCTTGTTACAAAAATGCTTTCCCCTATTACCAATCATAGCTCGGGGCATGTTAAAACAAGAGAAAATATTTTCTTTCAAGAATTTGACCACAACTTGATGGTCATTGATTTGAGATGAGATGTAATGGCTCCTACCCATTTAGACACATAATCAATAGCTATAAGTATGAATTGATAACCAAATAAACTTGGAAAAGGTCCCATGAAATCAATCCTCCAACAATCAAATATTTCCAAAACAAGAATAGGGTGAAGGGGCATTATATTACTCCTAGTGAGGTTACCTAATTGTTGGCATCAGTTACATATAACGCAGAAGGCATGAACATCTTTAAATGTATAACACAGAAGGCATGAACATCTTTAAATGTAGTGGGCCAATAAAAACCATACTGCAAGATCTTGGCAACGGTTTTCTTTGAAAAGAAATGTCTACCATAGGCTAATACATGACAAAAATTAATGACCCTTGAAATTTCATGATCAGGGATGCACCGCCTAACAATTTGGTCAGGGCAGTATTTAAATAGGTAGGGGTCATCCTAAAAAAAATACGTACATTGTAATAAAAACCATACTGCAAGATCTTGGCAACGGTTTTCTTTGAAAAGAAATGTCTACCATAGGCTAATACATGACAAAAATTAATGACACTTGAAATTTCATGATCAGGGATGCACCGCCTAACAATTTGGTCAAGGCACTATTTAAATAGGTAGGGGTCATCCTAAAAAAAATACGTACATTGTGTAAGAATTTTTGTTTGTCAAGTTTAGACCAATGAGAAGAATCTGACTTTTGGTTAGGTAATTTGCTATCTCAGCATACCATGGAGAGCCAATATAGGAGACAGTACCTACACAAAATAAATTTTCATCAGCAAAGAGTTCATTTATTGAAAGTTCATCAATTATGGTCTCATCGCTTGAAAGACAGGACAAATGATCAACCATTATATTCTTTATTCCTTTTTTATCTCAAATTTCAAGTTAAACTCTTGGAGTAAGCAGATCCATCGAATCAAACGTGGCCTAGCATCTTATTTTGTAAGTAAGTATTTAAATGTTGCATGATCAGTGAAAAAATAATAAAAGAACCAAACAAATAAGACCTAACTTGTCTAATGCAAAAACCACAGTTAAGAATTCTTTTTCAGTTATAATGTAACTCAATTGAGCATC